ATATATATATATATATATATATATATATATATAACTATTAAACAGCAATGATTAAATCTTAGGATTTCAGAATCAGGCAGAAAAACAGGAAAACGTATCAGAGGCGAGGGAACAACGAGAATCGCGTACATGATACTTGCGGTATCACCGCCAGGTTCACGAAACGTATCTACACGTAAGAACCAAGGACGCATTTATATTTAGATGCAATGTTTACGATCGAGAAGAATGCAGAGGTAGCGGTAAACGGAAATGAGTACACATGTTCGGTGGAGAAGAACCATCTCGAGAGTGAAATCTCGCGCTATTTGGCGCGTGCAAGGTTGAACGAGTAAAAGCCAGAACGAATGAAAGATTAAGGTAGATAAATGATGAGCGAACGAGCAAACTGAGATGGAACGAGATAGAGAGACAAAACCGGGCGGGAGGATAGCGAAAAAAGAAAAAAGAAAAAAAAGGAGAAGAAATAAACGCAATTGTTGGAAAGTGAAGTTGAACATGAATGTGATTAAAAAAAAAAGAAAAAAAGTGAAAAGATTGCAAAGCGTTGAATGATTCTCGAACCGTTTTTAACAGTTCTGTACCAGCCTTGTGGGCGAGTAGATCGTAATGGTCGGGCAAAGGCAACATGACCGTTGTTGTTCCGAGAGTTGCCATGCAATTTTGGGGACGACGTGGGCATCCCGTCAACGATCGACGGATCCATCTCGAGAATCATGCGCAGATCCTCGTCGATACCGATATGCACGCGCACGCGTTGCTCTTGTTCTCGTGGTGCAATCTCTCCCTCCTTCTGCCGACGATCCAACGTGGACGAACAATTGAACAGCCGATGATCGGTGGACTTTATGGCAGCCTCGATGTTTGGATGCGCACACGACGATAACGGTGATTGTTTGCTCGAGAACTGTGCCGATGCCGACGTCGACGTTGGCGCCGACGCCGGCACAGGCACCGCCGTAGCAGATTTTGATATTAATTCCGATTGAAATTCAGGCACCGATCCCGGTGCTACATAACGTGGTACTAGTAGCGGATCAACGATGTTAGTACTCGACCAATCGGGCAACGGTTTCGTCGTCGTTGGTCTCGTTAACGTCGTGGTTGTCGTCGTTACAGGTGTCGTAATTGCGTTCCCTGTTCTTCTTTCGATAGCGGAAGTGTTATTGGCCAACGGGCGGCCAACGTCGTTTATTCGATTCAGCCGCGACACTAAATCCTCGAATTCGATGATTTGCCGCACTGTTTCAGATATTTGTTGCATGTCCTCCGAAGGAGGTGAAAACTACGTTTTTACGGCCAAACTAGCCGACGAGCCGCGACGCTACTAAGCCAGATGTCGCGTCTCTTTGTTGTCTTGAACATCGCCGACGACGACCACGACGACCACGACGTTGTCAGTTACGAAAAACCAACGATCGTTTTGCTCTAAACCTGGATCCGTTACTGTCATCTCTCTTCCACCCTTTCGATTTCGCTCGCGCATTTCGCTGCTCGCGCGCATTCGCATATCGATGCCAACTGCCGTCCGTCGCCTAACCGCCAACCATCAACCAGACGTCAACACATTTGAAGACTGGACGCCGGCAACGGAAAATATGACAACTGGATTAACTAGCGGTGAATCAACGCATTTCTCTTAACTTTTTTCAAACTGTCAACTGATGAGTATTAATAGATACCTGAACCACGAGATGAAATTCCGGACGGAGGAATTGATTTTACGAAACATGGACTGCTCCGGAATCGAGAGATCTCTCTTCTTCGAAGATCGATATCGAGATCGAAAGTGCGAGAGCGGCGGTAAATAGACATGACGAATTGAGTCGAACGCGAGCCGAATCGACCCGACGTGCGACGAGCCCGGCCGACTCGAGCCGAAGCGAAATAACGAGCGCACAGATGACGGACACGAGTAAAGAATGTAACTTTAAGAATTGCGAGAGTAACGGAGAATTGACATCGGGAAATTGCTCGGATTAAGAAACGAATTGCACCTTGACCCGTATAACACGGTTTAACTTTGCTAACTGTGTGCCGTGTTCGTAAGTTCGTAGCAACGTACCTGCCAGTGTTCGGCGCTCGGCTCTTTAATTCATAGCACATGATGTCTTGCAGCGGTGTCGATAGAAACGACAGGGCCTGTTCCCAATCGTCGTCGTTGTTTCTGTGTCCATTAGCTTGTTTATTGCCGCAGGCCGATTCATCGATACCGATTATTCCATTTTGCTTCTCATGGCATAGACGACTGCAGAGGTCCGCTTCGCGATGCTCCAAATCGGTGGTAATCGCTGCCAGATCGAAGCCCATATCGATACCAGATTCCTCCATTCTTGTGTTTTTTTTTTCTACCAGCAGATAGTGTGTGAAGAGCGCGAAGCGACGCGACGCGGTCAGTAGCGTCGCGACGCCCCTTGCCGCGAACGAACTATGATTTTCGATACTTTCCTTGGTGAAACGATCACGATTACGAGACACCCGATGTTCCCGAGTTTTGCTTTCTAGCGTGGCGCCTCCCCACTGGTAGGTTAGGACGCGCGTGTCGAGCGATAATCGGACCAAGAGACGGGAGAGAGACGGTAGTCGCGAGTCGTGTGAGAACTTTTATCCGATTGAAGAAGAGCGGGGGTCGCGTTCGTTACTCTCGGCTGCTCCACGCTACTCGATGCTCGATGCCCGATGCTTTTGATGCCCGTGCCCGATCTCGGCTCGATGCCCAACCATCTACGCAACGAGGGGATAAGAGACGAGTAGATCACGAGTTCCTTCGCCAACATCCGCGATCTTTCTCCTTCCCCTCCCTCATTGTCTTCGCCAGTCTCACTATCCCATTCCGCGCCAACTACATCGCCAACCGCTATCATTGCTAATATGTATTGCAAGCGAAAGCGAACGAGAAACGGCTAATGGATTCAACAGACGACCGTGCGCGCAGGCGTGTGCGCGCGCACA